GGGAGAACATGTCATTCTCTTCTTCGTCTTCATTGACTGTTTTGTTTGAAGCGTGCATTTGAACGTGGTAAGAGCGATCTACTATCTATTATTATGGCGAGCACTAGCAGAGCGTTTAGAGGGTGTGTGCATCCGTGTCATCGCTATTTGACACCTGATGACACACACGATCTCTGCGTTTTGTGTTTGGGCGAGGAGCAAGCACGCAACGTCCTTGAGGGAGCGGTTTGCGTGCATTGTGAGCGTTTTTCGATGAAAAAGCTCCGCTCTCGTTTGTCTCTTTTTTCGAGGAAAGAGGGGCAGCCATCTGCTCCCCACGGTTCAGGACAATAAAATGCTGTATTCAGAATTTGACAGTGAAATCAATGCAGACTAGGTCATTTTCTGCCATTACACAAGAAACTGTTGTAAATACAATAAATAATAGTCATATTGTGCTGCATGGTGGGATAATAGTTTAAGTAATGTCATTAGTGTTCACTTTGGCTGGGAGCTTGGACCTTTTTATAATTGAATTAATTTTCTCCTAGCAAGTGTTATAGGACACAGTTGGTTATTATGTAGCAAAAATTACACAAATGTATTCATTTGCATTTTTATGTTTGTAATGTGTACTTTATGACCTCACATTATGTCTTCCTGGTTAAGGACAACTTCATCACAACACAGATAGTTAGGTGATTGACTCCTAGTCGGATGCAAACCATTGCATCCGACTAGGTTGTCTATCCATAATATTGTTTACCCCAGTGAAAAAGTCCTCTCTCTTGAATCAGGAGAGAAATACGAAAAGATAAAGCACCGTTTATAAGCAAAAACGATCAAAAACAGTTCAAAACAAATATGTTGGTGGATTTTGGTGCCAGAGGACAACAATGGATGGACTGGAGGCAGCATTATTTTGGTTTATGGACTGGACTATTTCGGCCAGAAGTGATGGCTTAAAGTTAAAACGCCAAAATGATGGATTTGTTTCTTACACACAATGTTTTGCTTCACAAGACATTCATTTGATAGACTGGAGTCGTGTGGATTACTTGTGGATTATTGAGTTTTTATCAGCTGTTTGGACTCTCATTCTGATGGCACCCATTCGCTCCAGAGGATACATTAGTGAGCAAGTGATGTAATGCTGATGTAATGTTTCGATGAACAAACAAACTCATGTTGAATTGGCCTGAGGGTAAATTTCAGCAAATTTTCATTTTTGGGTGAACTATTCCTTATGGGTGGTTGGGGATTTTTGGTGAGCCAGGTCAAGTCAAGTCAAGTCACCTTTATTTATATAGCGCTTTTAACAATACAGATTGTGTCAAAGCAACTGAACAGCATTAATTAGGAAAATAGTGTGTCAATAATGCAAAATGACAATAGTAAACACTAATTTTCCAGTTAAAGACAGTTCATCATTGAATTCAGTGATGTCTTCATTCAGCTCAGTTCATAGTATCATAGTATCTGTGCAATCAAGGCGACGATATCGCTGGAAATGAAGTGTCCCCAACTAAGCAAGCCAGAGGCGACAGCGGCAAGGAACCAAAACTCCATCGGTGACAGAATGGAGAAAAAACCTTGGGAGAAACCAGGCTCAGTCGGGGGGCCAGTTCTCCTCTGGCCAGACCAAACCAGCAGTTCAATTTCAGGCTGCAGCAAAGTCACATTGTGCAGAAGACTCATCTGGTTCCTGTGGTCTTGTCCCGGTTGTCCCAGCCAGGTAAACTATTAGTCTGACTCATCAACAGGGACTGCATCTTAACATTGGTCACTGCAGTCAACAAACATCATTTTAATAGTCCGTCAAAAAAAAGAAAAAAAATGCTGTTAATTCATGCTTGGAAGTCTAACATCACACAACTGCAGTTATTGTGTAAATATATATGCGTCATTACTGAAACATAGATGCAGATAGTTATTTGATCACAGTCATTTCCTGCTATTGTTCACACTTCAGTCACGGTATGCAGTCAGCATTTGTTGTAATCAATTGTAGAACCACTACTGTAAAAATTACTGTGAAAGTACAGCAACTTGTAGCCAGGAATAAAATGTAGATTCAAATGAAAGTACAGAAACTAGTAACCAAATGTAAATTTAAATGAAGGTAGAAACTAATAACCAGTATTAAAATAGACATTGAAAAAAAAAAAAGTTCACCCACATTTATTTCTGTACAGTGTGGAACGTCACCCACAGGTATGAACTCACCTTTGATTTATTTAAATGACAACAACAAACATATGGCACTACTAACATGAGGGAGGATGTGTGTGTCTCTGAGTCACAAATCTGAGAATGGAAATGATGCTTCCTCATTTATGATTGATACAGCCTATCAAATGTGATGCATCACAAGAATACAGACTTATGCTATTGCTCAAAAACATCCCCATATGAAAACTAAAAACGCCTTGCAGTCAGTCTAACCAACATGACTTAAAATTACATCATTATGCCTCATGCTGACAAGTAAGATTATTCTTAACTCTTATGTTCTGTTACAGTTGACCTTACTGTTTTTATATGCGAGGTGTCAGAAAATGTATGTGTATATCATAACATTATTTTAGATATTTAAGTCTTTGTCTTATTTTTCCTCAGACCTCACCAAAACCCAGGTGGCAGATATTATTGAAGCTGCCTTCTTTATCATGTGACTGGTATCAATTTTAGTAATTCTGTTTCAGCTGAGCTGACACAACTAAAAATGAAAAACTACTAATGATCATCTAAGAAATTAAAATAAACAGACGGCAGGAGTGTATCTCTTCACTTTATTATAATTTTAGTAATTTTATTGATTGCATTATTTAATGTTTTATTTTCAGGCTCCATGAGACCCCAAACTCAAGTAATCAGATTTATATAATAGGTTTTCAATTAGAAATGTTGATTATAATCAGTTCTCAGATTAGGAAATGTTGTATCATGATATATCAACCTGATACATTAATGCTATATTTTTTTCCGAGCTGTTAAAATAATTCTCTGAAACCCCAAACAGAACATGAGGGCTAAAATGATAAGAAACATCATTTTGTTTTAATGAAAAGTATCATTGCATTGATTGAAATTATTTCTGCCAAAATACACAGTATTTCAAAATATTGTAAAATTTCGGTTGATGGTTGAGAATAAACACTTGTACATATTC